GATTTTATAAATATTTTATTATATAAATTATTGCCAATTTCGTAACCCGTGACTATAATAAATCTTTTTGATGGATACAATATACTATAATTTATTTTCATAAAAGAAATATATCAAAGCAATAAATATTTTTTCCATTAATGGTGGATCGAAGATTTTTGTCGAACGCATGCATTTTTAATATGAATTAATGACCTTCAAAGTCACCCAATGTGGTTTTAATCGGAATGCTTGTTTTAAGAGATTTTTTTTAAGTTTTTTGGTTAATTCTAAAGGATTTTTTTTTTTTTTGGTTAATATTTCTTGCATTTTCTAATATTTTGGAGCACCATTCAAAGTTTAACGGATGCACTTTTTATACCCAAAAAAATATATTTACAAAAATAAGCGCGGCAAGTGTACAAAATCCCGCTCGAAACTTAATATCTCCCCTTGGTTATCATATTTTATATATTTTCGAAAAGAAAAAAAACATTATGTTTCGATGGAAAATTTGATTTTGTTTTGGTATAATTTACTACATTATTTACAAAAAGAGTATATCTAATTCACTGCGTAATCTATTAAGGGGTTGTTTGGCAGTTACTGAATGGTGTGGTGCAAAATAATTAAGTGGGTCAGACTGATTAAAAATATCTCATGATGTAGTGCAAAATGAAATATAATTGTTTGGTAATTGTTTACAATGAAGTTAGGGCGTTGAATGGTTAAGGGAGACCCATGATACAAAATCATCCAGAGAGTTTTAAAACCATTAAAGTATATAATTTTTTTTTTGTCAAACAAAATTCATCTTTAATGGTTTAGAGGCTGTCTCTCAATGGAACTATTAAGAGATAAACAAATAAACTCTTAAATAGAAAACAAATGCATTTTAATTAAATTTTAAAAAACCATTAAATTATGATCAATTCCGTAACTATATTATTAATTATTTAAAAAAAATTACGTTTTAAAAAATTCTTTAATTTAAAAAAAATGCAAGTGAGATTATTATATACAAAATCAATATATTCCAATTTTTTAATATTTTTATTCTAAGAAAAAAAAAAGTTTGAAGGATTTTCGAAAATTCATATTATCATTTTCATATGAATATATCAAATTTGATAAACCCACGAATTTATTTATTAAAAAAAACTCTATTTTATCTTGAATTAATTTTTGAAAAATGATAAGAGCTTAATGTAATTTGTAGCTTTATGTTTTTTATGATGAAATTTAAGCTGTATTTCTTGAGTTTTATAAAGTTTAAGGAATCATTTTTAAGTTTTATGATTTCTAATAAAAGGTTTTAAAAATTTCATAAATTTCAATAGGTGAGTTTGATTTGAGTTCAAAAATTGAAATCGAGTTCAAGTTGAGTTTAAATTTTAACTACTCACGAGTTTTCGAATAGAATTCGAACTTAGGAAATGACTACTGAGTTCAGGTCGAATATGCCAATACTCGAGCTTGACTCGTTAATATGTCCAGTTGAGCCTACTTGAGTCGAGTATTGACCGAGTCGATCTCGAGTAACTTGTGATTTGTATTGTATCGTTTACAACCCTAGTTCTTGGCCATCAAAATAAATTGTTGTTAAGTCTCTTACTCAATAATTACTAATCGAGTAAAAGTCTTCTCCCCCACTTACTAAGTAAAAATCTCGATGCTTGCTATGTCTTTTATAGGGTAATAAATCTAGGTCCTTGCTATGCCTCTTATCGGATAAGTAGGGCTGTAAACGAACATGATTGAACGCATGTTCCTGTTCGTTCATTTTACTTAACCGAACAAATGAACGAACACAAACAATAACAAAATTTTATGTCTTCATGTTCGTTCGTTAAGAAAATATGTTTGTTCATGTTCGTTCATTAAAATAAGAAAAGGAAAACCCTTTTCGCTCCGCTCAGCCTTATCCCTCTCTAGTGGTGTTTTAGTGATAGGTTCTATTTGTTCAACAACCGTTACTTATCATTTCGTTTCTCTAAGACAACAGAACAAAATGTAAAATGAGAAACGAACATAAATAAACGTAAACGAACATAAATGTAAATGAACATAGAGATGGCCAAATCGATCCAGTCAGTCCCTCCCGAGACCGATGGGGGACCAATAACTAATACTCTACAAAATTGAATACTAACAAAATTCTTTCTCCTCTCAAAACCATATAAATTCGTAGAATAAAATCGTGAAAGACAAAATAAAGATGCATCACATTATATTGTACGAGTACTCTTCTAGTTTTATATATATAATTTGTATTTTAGATTAATATAAAATAAAAATATTAGATTCTATTAAATTATTTTATTACAAAGATAACAATTACTTGAAAGAAAAATGTTATGTCCACCATCACGCCACCATTTTTCCCACACACACACATAAAGGGGCGAAATGCCTTTGCGCACTTTCTCTCTCTAGCTTTGCTCAACTCAAAGTACACCGCTCCAATCAGTCTCCCCCCACAACTCTACTTCAATCGTTAGAGGTAAAACTACATGTGTTTTTGTATGTATTACTGGTGCAGATTGATGGGTTGGCTCTATTCATGAAGCTGTTTCGGACTTGCGTTGATTGTTCTTCGATACTTGTATACAATAGGATTTTGTCTGGTTTGAATCGATTTTGTTTTAGGGATTTTGGGTTTAGGTCGACGACTCTGCTATTCGATAGGTAGTCTTTAGTTTTATCATGTATCTGTGTTTCTTGAAATTTTTAGATTGACTTGAGGAATGGTTTTTACTGATCGAATTATCGGAGATTAAGGACTGGTTTCGATTTTGCATGACAATCTACTTGGTCTTTTTGGATTCTCTTGGTCTATAATCATTTTAATGGTGCAAACGATTGATTGGCTGGTGTTTGTTTAGTTGAATTTTAGATTGAGTTGAGGAATAATTTTGCTGATCCAGTTATTGGGGATTAAGGCTTGGTTTTGGATTTTGAATGATTATCTATTTGGTTTTCTTTTGGATTGCCTTGCTTTTTAATAATATTAATGGTGAAAATCGATGGTTTGGTTGTGTTATTGGTGTTTGTTTGGTTGAATATCTAGGATTTAGTTGAGAAATACTTTACAGATAGAATTATTGGGGAATAAGGCTTATTTTCCATTTTGAACGATAATCTACTTGGTTTTTTTTTGTATTGTCAATGCTTTTTTGATTACTTCAATGTGCCTTATCTGTTTGGTATTCGTCGGTTAAGGAGAACACGTTACCTACCTCTATATATTTGTTTTGTGTATGTTTCGGGATTGATTTGGGCCATGGACTAGTGGTTGTTTTGTTTGATTGCAATATAAATAATTTTTTTCCCTTTTCATGGTATTTAAGGGGCCAAGGGGATGATTTTGTTTTCGTAGAGTTGTTTGTGCAACTCCTGGCACCTTTACTGTGTTAAGACTTTATATGCTTACATTAAATGGGTGTGTATTGTAGTTGACTCCTGTTACTTTTTATGCTTAATAGAGTATCATGCTTTGGTGTTGATTGATATGCTTCGTAAATCTTCATCCTAAAGGTCATCTTTTTGTATCATGTCTCTCTTTGTTCAGGAACAACTTGAATGTTCTACATCGTTAATAAATAAAATACATGTTTTGTTATATGGGTCGTAAGCTAAGTTCTGTGCGGATTTATGTGTGTGTGTGTGTGTATTTTCTTCTCAATTCTCCATCTATCTTGTCCATTTTTTTTTATCAGCGAACGTGTCATAGAATATTGACTATGTATTTGGCCCAAGGAGGTGGTCAAAGAATGTGGGAGCTTTCTTAGCACAAGTCTTTTTAACCACTCTGTTTTTCCCTAAAATGAATGTAATCTATAATGTACCTTTACTATATGATCATCAGTTTCCTGCTAAGAAGCACCCTTGTTCGCAACAATTGCTTCCTTAAATATTTAAGGATGACATTATTAATGAACATGAACATATGGCTTTATATTTGATTCCTATGTCTGACTTTCCAGGTATCGCAGATAGCATACGAAGTCTCTATGTAGACTGCATATGCTTAATGCCTTCAATTAAGGCCTTCACATATCATAATTGCAAACATATACATGGGTTTCAGAGATGATAAAAAGTTAATCTTTCAGAATTTTGGAGTTACTTATTGAACCAACTTTAATGTAATCCTTTTTCTTTTAGTCTGATATATGTTCTTATGTTTCATCATGGTTAGGCTAACATAGTTGGTGTTACAATAGCTATAGTGATTTTGCTAAGGAACATTGTCACCTTTTAGAAAAAAATCTATGCGACATGAACTCTGGATATACACATAAATGATAACTTGCACTATGAGCAAGGTAGATTCTGATTTGATGATCTTTTAAAGATATAGCAGAGAACCACCTGCAGTATCTCCTGACGTTATACCTTTATTTGTTGCTTCTGTTAGTCTGTAAATCTGCTATGTAACCCAATTAGGTGATTCAGAAGTTTGGAAGATAGTTCTAATTTACACTGTTGTTTTAATGGGTATGATGATATAGACGGGTATTTGTTGGAAACACATGCAGTAAAATTGGGTAACCTCTATCAACACGAGTATTTAATAGATACACAGTGAAAATTACAATATTTTAATGACGGGTTGATTGTTTAAAAAAGGTATGTGTGAAGGTGTTATGCTGTACATTTATCTAACTTAAAACATGGAAAACCATGTTACATCAGGTTTAAGCTGTGTACAATACAGGTTGGTGATCGTCCACCTGGGGATTGAAATTACTAAACAGCTATATGATAAATGGTTTATGCTTGTTTATCCTGATATACTTCTCTTGAAATCTCTAGTTGCCAATTGAAGGGTTGGTTATATTACCGGACTCTTTCTCAATAACTGTGAAGGCGTATCTGGCAGTTTAGCAACTGTCTTTCATCAATAAAAAATACGTAAATGTTCAAGATTGTGGTTGTTGTGCAATGGAAGAAGATGTATCAATATTTAAGCACTTGTGTTTTTATTTTAGGTTTCATTATTCGTGTTATGTTGGGTGACAAGAATATTGCATCATAAGACCTCTCTGATTTAGATCACATGCACTCCAATTTTTCTAGCAGGAGTTTTGCCTTTCCTTTTTTCTTGCCAACTTTCATAGTTTGGGAGCCTTGAAAAAGTTGAAATGGATGTCATAATATGTATTGTTTCTTTTTCTAGAATATTTATTCCGAATTCTTGCTTAATGTTCATCAACATTGTTATTGTTTTACGCAGTAACATCTTTGACCTTCTCCTTGTGACATATTGACAATGTCAACTTTCAGTTGAGAGGTGTCTTCTCCTTTACTAGAGAACAGAAAGCAATGAGACTACTGTCAACAGCTTCAGTTGGATAAAATACAAAGTCAGTAAAAAATGGGAGGCTGCTGCTGCTGCTTTTCTTCTAAAGGAGTAGAACTCAACAGTTCACCCCGATTCTATCATGTTAGTACAATCTTTCATACTCTACCTTTGATATCCAAGCTTAAATGTGTATTATGCTTGTGGCTTTTTGTACATGGTGGCTCCGAGTTGAGCTGGACCAGTATATGCCTTGATAACAAAAATTGGCTTCTATTCTATTTGGGCCGTTAACGATAACGTTTACGTGCTATTTTGAAGTTTCTCGATTGTTAGTCTCAGCCTTTCAATTTTAAGTTTTTAACTGAGGTGGACACACTGTCTTTATCTAATTGTTTTATATCTCTTAACTAGAAAATACATTTGTCGTCTCCCCATAAAATGAGAGTCTGAAATGAGGTAAACTGAACCAGGGAAAAAGATGAGATAACTTTAGTAGACCGGTGAAAATGAAGTTTGTCCATAACAACAATTATTATTACTCCATTTGAATTTGTTGTGTGAAGCCAAAATTTGTTGATACCAAGTCACAAGTGATCAGCTTACTACAATATTGGCAATATTCTCTCTTGTAGATCTACCAGCTTTTGTTCTCTCAGATTCTTTTAAGGCCTTTGTCCAAGTCTGTTTGGAATTGAACTGGAACCCAAATTGGTTTCTGGGATTATATATAGATACCACACCAACAGTTGTTTTACATATAGAAAACCTTGTGGGTTAGCTCAACTGGCAAGAAGGCTTGGGTCTTTGGGTATTCCCCTCAGAGGTCACCGGGATTAGTCGAGGTGCGCACAAGCTTCCCCGGACACCCATGGTTAACAAAAGAACAATTGTTTTATTTGAAACTAGTTGTTCTGGTGACCGGGGACAAGTGCATGCTGTACTTTATTATGTAACAATAAAACTTTAAACATGACCAGTGCTTTACGAGATAGAAGTTGTATTTACATAGCTACTTGTCTGTATTTAGAGAGGATAGTGTAATAACCCTCTTTCCATGATCAAAAGATCACCTAAGTCTACTGATATGTCCACAAGGAACAAGATATCTATGCTTCTAATCACTTTGAACCGCTTTGCTTTGTACATTCCGTGATATGTTCTTGCGGAATTATATTCTTTTTGCTTTGATACATTCACAGATAATGGTATCATTTACTATACACATTCATGAAGAATCATATCCTGTATATACTCTAGGTGAAATTCGAAGAGCACCAGCCTTTTCTGTCACAAGGCTAGATTTTTAAATAGAAAACGTCCATACAACTTTGATTAGGCATGCCACTATGATATACCTAAAACACATTTTGGCATAACACCTCCCATAGAACATCTCATTATAGCAGAACATTTATATTCTACAACTCTTTGCATTCTAAATACTGTCAGAACACTTCTAAAAGATACATTTGGGCAATAAACAGATTTAGACGATATAAACCCACATGAGCTTTGATCAATAAATCAACACACATTCCGTTTTTTTGAAGTGTGCAAGAACTCAACTGTCTACGTTATGCTCCATACGCTTATCTTCTCATTATCAGGATACTTAATTTTTTACCATCTAGCATATGCAATCACTATTCATCAAGAAAGTAGATATATTGCCCTTTTGGATGAGTATCACTCTTTTAGGCCTGTTAACCTATTTAAGATAGCTTTAAACAGGCTTGCATTTAGAAGAAGGAAGTTTCAGAAAGTGAACACATTGAAAAAACCATAAAACTTCAGCTTTTACCAACGGCCGTAGGGTTATGCTTTACTTATTATAGTGTAGGATTATGGTGTCAGGAACTAAGGTCAGGATACGGTTTTTGCTAGTTGTAACTAGGGGTGTTCATCTAAACCACTAAACTGCACAAACCGCCACCGCACAACGCTGCACCCAGTTTAGAACTTTTGCTATGCGGTTTGCATTTTCATCAGACCGCGCTTTGCGGTGCGGTTTTGCGGTTTTAAATCATCAAACCGCAGTTCAAACTACACCGCATTGCATATCTTTTAATATTTTTTTAAATATATATTACATATAAATAATCATTTATCAAATGAAAATAGTTAATACATTATTGATTATTTATTAATTTTTCAGTTTTCAGTTTTCCTTTTAAGTCTTATGTTTCAAATTCATTATTTGAGTTATTTTCTTTTGTCTTTTGTCAAACATCATGGTCGAATTATTTTTTACCTTGACTTTTCAGATGCATTTGGATTAATTACCGAACTCCTTAGTTTGTGTTTCATTATTTATAATTACGCATTTCGTACGTATTGGAACTTCTTATTCTATGAAATATGGAGATGTCATCGTCGAATTCATTTTGAAGTGATTTTATAATTAGTTGACTGAAATGCATTAGATACAAACTGCATAAATCACACCACAAATGCTTTGCGGTTTGCAGTTTGGAAAATCTTTAAGACCGCATATGCGGTGCGGTTTGGCCCTAAAACCGCATCGTGAACACCCCTAGGTGTAACCTTATGGCTTTACAAAACTTCAGACAGATGTTCCGAATTGCTTCTTGTTCAAACCAATTACCAACACGGTCAAAGTTCTATGCCTAGAAATTGAATTCAATCAAAAATTTGAACATACTTTAGCTTTAACACCCACTTTGAATCTCTAAAACAATCTATTTCCAATAATTAACAAGTAGATTAGTCTATCAAAATCTACCTAATGCATGTCGATTGACACTAAAATGAGTATTTTATCATATATATAACAATTATTTCAGAAAAAAAACTTCGAGATTGTAACACAATCTTACCTTCTTTGGCAAATCTTTTGCTACCTTTTCTTTCTCTTCTACTTGCGGTCCAACCACAGCCCTCATCACTTTGATTTATCTCAATTTGAATGGAAAATCCTTGATTCCCAAGCCTTGAACCATGTTGGAAAATTTCGGCTGGTCGTTTAAGCACAGGCAGTTGCTTACTCATCTCATCTCATATGGTGCCTTACATTAAGGCATTTTCCATAATTCTGAGATATTTCTTTATAGTATGAAAACCTGGGGGCGTTACAGATGGCAATTCCACTTGGATTACATGGCATTTATGAGAGTAGATCTTTTTCAATCGATATTTCTCTGTTTTGGCTACTCCCTTCTGTCTCTGATGTCTACATACAACTAGGGCCGATTACCTAAACCGGAAAGCGCATACCGGTAAAATTTAACACTATCGGTAACTTATCGGGTAAGATTTTAATTCACCAAAACAACATCGTATGTAGCAATTTACCTGGTAAATGCTAACCGTGGTATGAGTCGTCGTGATCAGTTACAGGGTAAGACTCTTAGTCCTTGCCTTCGCTCTTACCGGGTAAGATTCTTGGTCCTTGCCATATTCATCCGGTAAGGTAATGTGATACAGTAAGCACTTACCCGAGTAAGCATTTGGTAAACAGCCCCTTAGACATACATCTATAGATCTTCTGAGGAAAAGTAGTGCAATAAGTTCTAACATGTTTATCTATTGCAAATTTTAAGTCTAAAAAATGGCCTTGAGAGGTCAAAATCATGTTAATACTTACCAACATGCTTTGCGATTTAGTACAAGTTGGATCTTGATCTTATAGAAATAGGTCCGGGGGAATACTTCCTCCATGCCACAAGAAAAAAAGATCTTTTTAGGATGTCCCACGAGCATTTCAACATGTTAATTTACATAAGAGTCAAATGTTTAAATTCTTGTGGGCTGTAATGATTACATTTTTAGACTTTTATGTTAATTTAACCATTTGGCTTTAAAATCCGATCAAATCTGCAGTATCCAATAGTGTCAGAGGAGCGGCAACCCTTATCATCAAACAGTGGTGCAGCTTCTTCCCTTTCTACAGGGCTTTTAGTTGATACAAATCTTGAAACATCTATACCCGACACTTATAGGCCTCCTCCTGCACCTATACCATATGATGTGAACGTTGCTCATCCACTGAACAATCGAGAAACTTGCGGTATTAAGCAAGAAACACCTGTCCAATCAAATAATACCGATGCTGTTGGAGAAATAAGTATCAGTAACAGTGGCGAAACTGTGAGTAAGGAACCAAACTCTGATTGCACCAACATTGAGCTTGTTGCGACGAAAGAAGTGGATGCAGAGCTTGAGAAATCTGGTGAACTCAAGAAGTCTAATGGACCTCTTTTACCTCCAGAGGAGTGTCCCACCTGTCTTGAAGGTAACAACAAGCTGCCTTATTTAACTCCATTGATCCGCCAAGCTTATATGCTGTTGATGTTTTGGTTTGTGCAGAGTATGATGAAGACAACCCGAAAATAATCACTAAGTGTGAACATCATTTTCACTTGTCATGCATTCTTGAATGGATGGAAAGAAGTGATACCTGCCCCGTGTGTGACCAGGTTGGTCTAACTTTTCCAGTTTCTGCTTGGCATCTTGCAAAACAAAAAGATTGAACGAAAACGGTAAAAATGTTGCAGGAAATGATAATCAACTTCCCGGTGAACAACGAATAGAGCATTGTGGCATCATGCAATCAAGGTAATGAAATGCATTGGAGGGTTTCAAACTTTGTTGGGTTTTGTTTTTCTCTTTTATTTTGCTTTGCCTGCTTTCCCGCCCCCCCCTGATGCTTCGTTTCCTTGTTCACGAAAAACGAATAAAAAACCGACAAGAAAAGACAAAACCATGAAAAGAAAAGGGCAGTTAGTTTGATGTTGTTATCAGTTGGCTGGTGGTTGGGATGAAACAAAAAAATGTCAGAAAGAATGAATTATTTTGTACAGGAGTTCCATGTTGGCCTTTTTTATACTTGTTTGTAGAAAGTTGTTGATTTGATTTTGCATAGTGTTAAAAGGGCCATTAATTAAATTTTATAGATTTGTTTCAACTCACCAAAGATATCACTTCCAATTTCATCACTTTTTTGCATTTTTAGTTGTGTTATTCATCACGTGCTGCTATTCTATTCTAAATCTGTACACTGTTGTGCTTTTGTTTCGACCTTTTTAGGTTTTGGTCCCTAAACTTTACACTTTACGTTAGTGGTTCTTATTCCGTGTTTCGTACAACAGATTGGACATTGTTAATCAAGTTAGTCATGACAGGGGTAATTTGGTCTTTTTCATTTTTCCTGTCGTGTTGGTCCATCAAATGCTTTACGAATCAACGGAGAAACAAGGAGGGGAAATACAAAGATGAGGGTGGTTCACCTTATTTAACCATCTTTCCTCTCATCTCGTTTCTCTCTCTTTGACTAAAACAATCCGTCTAACATTCGGAGAAGAATTTTTGAACATGTGACAACTGTTTTACTTAAACACTACTACTTTGTATACAAACCATAAGATTTTTTCGATTACGCTTTGCAAGTTAGCTGATGACTGATAAACTAACTGATCAAGTAATTATGTTTGGGTTGAAAAATGTAAAATGATCAAAAATGATATGTTAAAAGAATTAGTAAATGTTAACATTTCATAATATATTTAAATCAAATCATTAATAATATAATATATTAATTAATACGATAATAAATAAAAGTAAATAATAGAGTAGTT